ATCAATTAAGTAGCTATCCTTGTGTTCCTGCTATATGCTTAGTACTCTGCAAAAGGAACCTGGCAGGGCAGGAAGGAATTGTAATGCGTTTTATAAATGAGTTTGAGGTTGTTCAAGGTTGTGGAGCCAGTAGTGGAAAAGCCAGGGTTGAAAAAACTAGCTTTTGTGTTGTGGCTTAGTTTTGGTTAGAAATGAGCAACTCCAGTCCACTCCCCTCCCAGTGTATTTTCTTTTCATTGAGAATGAAAATTGTTTTACTCAGTTATGGAAAACTGTCGACTCTAGAAAAAGAATTTGAGAAAAGGCTTATGAGAGCTTTCAGCTGGAAGTAAGATTATAGACCATTCACATAAGTTAAATAGGTTTTGATTTGGTAGTTCCTTTGGTTTTGAGTTAATTTTTGTTATTGTTGAGTAGATGCATCTTTAAAAAGTGATTAATTAGCTTCTTAGGGATATTTTAATGGTTGGTAAATCCCTAAGAAAAATTTCTTCTGGCTGTAGGTTTTGGGGTTGGGGAGGTTAGCCTTTAAAATGTAACCTAACTGGAACTTCTATAATGGTAGGGCATATTTTTTTGAGGACCTGCAGGTCTCTTGCAAGACACCTATCAGAGGTGGTCTTGAACAAATTACTTTTTCCCATGTGCCCTGAGGCAGCCCTGAGAAAGTCTAGGATTTGGAGGGAGCAGATTTGAAACTCTTTCCTATGTTTATAAGGAGAACTAACTTTAGTGTTGGACACTTGGTTTTCATGGCTTTAAAGGTGTTTGTAGCATGATTTTCTCTTCCTTCCTGGAATTCAGAGATTAGCTGCTGAATGATGATATCCCACTAACTGAGCGGTCAGTAGTTGGTCCTTTGGTTGCATATGATGCAATTAATTGTTTCAAGACGGGACTGATGGCAGCTACTGAAATGAATTCCTGCTAGTGAACTGATTTTAATCCTTAATACTAAAATATGAAAAACTTTATTTTAGTACCAAACGATTCCCTGGTTATGATTCAGAAAGCAAAGAATTCAATGCAGAAGTACATCGAAAGCACATCATGGGTCAGAATGTTGCAGATTATATGCGTTACCTAATGGAAGAAGATGAAGATGCTTACAAGAAACAATTCTCTCAATACATAAAGAACAACGTAACTCCAGACATGGTAAAAATTTTAACTAAAAATGCCTGTGTTGGTTAATTTAGAGTCAGGTTTACTACTTGGTTTTTGTGGTTACATTAATAGTTTTTTCTTTTTAAAGATTTTATTTATCCCTTTGACAGAGACACCACAAGAGAGGGAACACAAGCAGGGGGGTGGGAGAGGGAGAAACAGGCTTCCTGCTAAGCAGTGAGCCCAATGCGGGGCTCGATCCCAGGACCCTAGGATCACGACCCGAACTGAAGGCAGGCACTTAACGACTGAGCCACCCAGGCGCCCCACTGAAATTAATAGTTTTATTTCAGGTTAACAGTTCAAAGTTGAACCATGAGTATGTTAACAGGTATAGATAGACTCAGATAAGCTGTTCTTATCTTAAAGTGGAAGGACATGAAATTGGGATACTGGGTGAGGGTAAGGTAAAAGTCAGATAGGGTAATTATAAAGAGCTAGACTTACCAACATGCTTTTAGGAATTTTTAGATAACTGAAGGGTAGCAGGCTTCAAGCATCTAAATCCAAAGCCTTTGGTGGCTTTTACACATTTGGCTGTTCTGAATTTATAGACTTCATTCCTGTGGTCATAGTTAGAATCATCTATCCTGATAGGAGATGCTAGTTACTAAACTTACTTTGAAGCCGTGTGGAAGAAAGGTTCTTTATAGCAAGTAAGTTCTATGTTCTGGACTTTCTGAATGTCTCAGGCAAGCACATGGAGAGTTGTACTGATTAGATCACTAGTTCTGCTTGATGTTGCAAATGGAAATTTAATGTTGGAAATTTTATCAGCCTAAAGTTATATCTTCAAGGCTATCTATTAACACATTGTAGTAATGGAAGATGATAGGCATAGAACACAAAAATAGCACTGGTTTTTATAAAACTTGTATACAACTATGGAGTTGTGGATAAATTGATGTTACATATCAAATGACTGTTCCGTTAGTGCATAATTTCTATTTTCACACAGCTTTGGTTATGAGAATTTGAGAGCATGAGTGAGTGCGTAGTGGGAGAGGGACAGAGGGTGAGGCTCCACACCAGCATGCGGGGGGCCTCAGTCTCAGGGCCCTGGGATCATGACCTGAGCCAGAATCAGAGTCAGATGCTTAACTGATTGAGCCACCCAGGCACCCTGTAAAAATTATTTCTACTTTAAGATTTTATTTATATATTTGAGAGCGTGAAAGAGAGTGAGCACAAGCAGGGTGAGCAGCAGGGAGAGGGAGGAGCATGGAGTCCGATGTGGGGCTTGATCCCAGGGCCCTGGGATCACGACCCGAGCGGAAGGCAGACGCTTAACTAAGCCACCCAGGCACCTGTGAAAATTATTTTTAAATGGAGTTGTAATTGGGAAAAGATCCTTTTCTGTTATTTGTATGCTTAGTACACAGTCTAGGGATAATAAACATATAACTTGAGTTTTTGAGCTAGGAAAAGGGTAATACTACATTAGTTTATATTAGTAATGCAAATGCATGTTAATTTTCAGAAATCCATACTTTTATGTTACTATTGACAATCGCCCTTGTTCCCTCTGGTAAATAGGTCTTTTACTTGTGACTCTAATTCTGCTTGGCCTGCATAGTTTTTCTTCCTAAGACATCTCTTCCTCTTGTTCAGAACTTTTCAAATTCTCAAGCTGCTTTCAGATACCAGTTTCCTAATGCTCTCCTTTATATGTGATATATTTATCTGGACCACTCTTAGGCTGATGTACTTTTCCCGGCTAGCTCATTAATTTGATCTTTGGAGGCCTTTTATGCATGCCTGCTGAAATCCTCTGCAGACATCTGACATGGCTCCAAGAGGAAGTGGTCTTTACCTAAACTCATGCTGTTAGCTACATACATGGTTGTGTATCCTGTTTGTCTCTTTTGGAAGGAATGGACCGAGTTGCTTAGATTTATTAAATGACTACATTTGAAGTCATCAAATGGATTTGTTAAATACAGTGGAAAGCTATAATAGAATGCTTAACAGAGGTAGAGAAATTAGTTTTCAGGAGGGATTTAGGTAGTTGAGGTGTCCTGCAGTGTTGGCATTATTTTCATTTGCTAAGTTTTACACAAGTAATTTTAGAGTTGGATTACTTCGACTTATTCTTTAGGGGGCTGTAATTGTTCCTAGATTTGGGTAGTGAACATTCAGGTATTTTATAGCTGTTTCATGTCTTGATCATCTATAGAATCAAGTGTCATTTGGAGGAGGTAATTGAAACAATTCGAGAATTTCAGCATTGGTTTTTGATAAGTTTTAGAACAAAATTCTCATTAAGATCTAATTGGATGGTGTTTTGGGGTTTTCTGGGGAAATTGAAACATTCTGTTTACACAGAAACCTAGTAGTAATAGATACAAGAGGTGCCTGGTGTGCAATGCTGGGAGTAGCATTGAAAGACCTATCAGGTACTGATGGAAAATACAAATCTGGGGTATGTGGGAGAACAAAAATGAATTTATAGCAGTTGCTTTTTGGCCCCATCTAGTCTTCCTTAACATCTTAAATACTTTGTTTTGGCACAAATCCTCACTTGAATAAAAGAATTTAGGTCAGACAGTATTTTAAATGAACATACATGTTTTTACAGAAACCCATGCAAATTTTTGAGTGTGATTGAGTTTTGTGAATAGTGTTAGTTCACATTGCCTATGGGTTTCTTAGGAAAATGTGGGCTACATGTAGAAATTTAGAGAGATAACCAGGGTTGACCTAGTTTAGTTCCTTTTGACAGTCTGGTTTAGAGACAAAATAGAACAAGTAGTAGAACGCAGTACACATTATATGACTATATAGGGCATGTGAAATGAAACCAAGTACTGTTTGCTTTGCTTTCTTTCAGATGGAGGAGATGTATAAGAAAGCTCATGCTGCTATACGAGAGAATCCAGTTTATGAGAAGAAGCCTAAGAAAGAAGTTAAAAAGAAGAGGTATGCATCTTACTATTGTCTTTTTAAGAGGTTGGGAGGAGTTCCTTGCCTTGTTTCACCTTACTCAGACTCTCAAGTTGTGCAAACTCGATCACTAGCTCTGCATGATGTTGCAGAAGTGAGGGGAACCAGGTTTGCTAAAGTAATTGTGGTGATGGAAATGTGTAAGCCTCAGAAGGTACTTACTGAGCTGACCTGTTCTGTCCCAGTACAGTATAACTACCAGTTATATAAAGTTTTTTTTTTTTTTTTTTTTACCAGTTACTGCATTTTTAAAGTTAGATTAAGATCATAAATGTATATTGGAACTTGGATTGTTTTACCTGATCCCAGAGTCTTTTTCAATCCGAGTTAACTATTTTCTATCCTCTATAGCTATGCTTTTAAAAAATTACATTTATCTCTTAATTTTACTTTGTTTTTTAGGTGGAACCGTCCCAAAATGTCTCTTGCCCAAAAGAAAGATCGGGTAGCTCAGAAGAAGGCAAGCTTCCTTAGAGCTCAGGAGCGGGCTGCTGAGAGCTAATAAACCAAACCACAATTTTCTGTGAAGATTTTTCAGTTAAAGACAATAATAAACTTATTCATCAAGCAGCTGTCTGTGTTAAACTCTTATTAATGAAACTGTTGGAAATAACCTGAAATAAAAAAGCAGAGGAGTTGACAGGTTTTTTTCTTTGAGAAACAAATATAACTTTACATATTGACTCAAAATTCACACCTGCTTCTCAGGCTTCTGTTTTCCCTGACAGGAGTTAATCCCTCCAGTTGTATGATGTGCAGCTCTCCCTAAACAGTGTGGCAAGCAAGAGACCAACTGTCCTCTAGGAAATACTTCTTCATTCATTGTAACCAGATGGCTGGTGGGAAGAAAAAGTACCTTCAAAGTACACAATTTTAAAATAAAACTGGTGCTAAATCAATGGCTTTAATTTTTGAGAGAAAGCTGTCCAATGAAGTTCACATAACTAACATTCACTTTACTCAGGTGAAAACTTTGAGCAGAATATATTGAGTCTTCCTTCAGATAAGGTGTTCCATTTTATGGAGATGTTGAGAGATACATGCCAGATCTTAATAAACATGAAAATAACATTAAAAGGGCAAATACTAACTTGCATATCAAGTTTACATGAAAAAAAACTACATGCCTCTTAAATAGCCCTTTGGCCAACAGGAAATACTGTTCAAAAATGGGAAATTGTTATTAAAAAGTTACATGATTTCAGAGTCTGGCTCCTAATGTCCCACTTCCCCATAGCTCAAATTCAGATGCATGGATCTGGGTTGGGTTTGATGGCCTTAATGTCAGTTTTAAAGGACTCAGCTCATTGACACTAAGAAGGACCCATCAAATCTAGGATGATGAAAGCTCATCCAGTTTCAGCCTCTTAAAATTGGCAATTACGAGGCTAATAACCACTCAAAACATTCTGAAGCCATATGATGTCTAAATGTTTTAAGTCTATAAATACAACAAACCATGCTATTAACCCAACATCTGTTTATAAAGGAGTAACTTTACCTGCTTTACAGTCTTAATTTCTGTTAATGTGCGAACTTTACCATGCTAAGACTTTAGTAAATGTATAATTATTTTTTTAACAGCAGCTTCAATGCAAACAATGTTTCCAGCAATGGTATTTTGGCTAACATCTACAAAATACTCTCACTGTTGATGTTTATGGAATGAGGCTTTTCACAGCATTATTTTAGGTCATTAGTCAAAATAGTTACACAGTGAATGTACTGGAAAATCAACCAGGGCTTCTAACAGCAGGAATGAAATCTTTGGACCTGTTCATCCTATACCTCCTGCCATTACTTCAGCAATCAACATGTATCTTAAGATGATGGCTTCTTAAAACCAGGGGGAAGAAGTTTTGTGTAACTGGCAGGGATTTGAATCAGAAGCCTTTTTTTTTTTTTTTAAATGCTCAAACATTTTCCTTAGAATTGTTAAGTTTCCTATAATTATAGGTCACAATGTCCAAATGAACTAAGAGTCATTTGTATAGGAAATTTTCTTCCACAGTAATGTTTTTAGGTTATTTAGTATCAAAGAATGTTCCATTTCCATTTGATGTGCTGTGACTTTGAGAGCAATACAAGAATAAAGTTGCTTTTCCAATTCTTCACGAATTTCACTTGGAGCACCACGCAGTAGGTAGTCTTTGAGTAACTGACAGGCTTTTGCTAGGTTTGGTTGTATCACTTCTGAAGTACACTTCATTGTACTCTGATCACAGCTAGTTCGACAATCCGTGCCATAAACACAGTCCAAATCAGACTCACAGTGACGATCCTTTATAATTTCTTTCAGGTTTGTCTCTGGCACAATTTTTCTCATGTCCACCATTTTCAAATCATACTTGTCATTATATCCTAGGTTTTTGGCACTAATATCACACATGAGGAAGTTTCCATAGGGGCCGTGGAAAACATCTTCCACAAATTCTAGAAGTCCTATGGCTATTTTAGCCTTTCTAGGCCATGATGGTGTGAACAACTGATCCATGCTTCTTCTGAACCCAGATGGAATAAAAAGTTCAATGACCCATGGAAGGCTTATTCCATAAAGAGAGGTATATTCAACACTTTCCATCACATAGAGATCACCACAGAATCCCATTAATTTGGGGGTATGCTCCTTATCTTGAAGTATCACCATGAGAAGAAATTCATTTAGTTGAAGAAGTGCCCATGCTGACTTTGCTTCCCCCAAGGAAACCTGGCCATCTTTGTCTCCATCAGCCACCGTCAAGATGAGATTAACCAGTTCAGAGAGATTTCCTTGGTCACCCAACTTTGCCTATAAAGGTAAGAATTTAGCTAAACATAGAAGGTCTGAAAAATACCTCATATGTAATATACATATTAATTTTATGGGGATTACCATCTTAAGTAATAATCTTGTTCCTGAGTCTCCATAAAGGAACTTAATACATCTCCAAATATTTATGATGCTTACTATGTTGATTAGAAGTAGGTTTTATATAATTGCAGTAAAACCCACTTCATTAAGTATATTTAAGAAATGGGCCGCCCTAGCTCCCACAGCCCCATGGGCCCTGTTGATACAGTTATCCAACACACTAATTATTCTGTCTTATTCATACATTTACTTGCAAAATTGCAGTGTAATGTGCTCATATCCAAAGTTATAATGAGTCTATTTTTTCCTATTTTCTAATTAACACATTAACAACTATTTTGTTTAAGTTGTATTATTCCAATGATGAAGGTTAAAAAGTATGTCCCTGTGAAGGTTCTTAGGATAAAATAGTCTGAAAATGTAAACTTAAAAGATTTTGAATGAAAATATGACACCAATAAAAAATGAGACTGTTTCCAAAATGGTAAATTTTTTATCTTTTAATATATTTAATCTTTGAATATTTCTTTAAATTTTTAAAATAATTTGCAATCAGGGTATGCATACTAATTTTAGCCCTTCTCCCACCTTTTAAAAAATGTGTATTGGGTACAGTATCAAACTATAGAGCTGCTCATTTACTTAATGAACTCCCCTTTCATATCTGGACATTTTTAGCTATCATAAATAATGTTAATGTAAACATCCTCCACACATTTTATTTGAATTTTTTCCTCAAGATGGAGTCCCGGATGTAAGTTAAAGAATAGCAACATTTTTATGGCTTAGGATGAGGTCTTGCCAACTCTTCCAGAAGAATGTACCACTTCACACTAGCAACATGTGAATGGAATACTTACTTTAAAGAGACTATAGACCATTTCTTTGAATTTCTGTACAGTAGTTCCCCTTGTTGGCTTATCAAATAGGACTATTTCTTTCCTTGGTTCCAATTCAGTTCCAAAATCAAGATGAAGTGCTTGTTCCATTTGACATTTCACAACACCTGGTAGATTACCCCAAATCCCTAAATACATCTATGTGAAAAAAGAATGACAAATTACTCTTTAGGCTGAATAGAGAACTTTACCAATGTATTTTTAGTGTCTTCTTCCTCCTACAAAAACAAGTAACAAAATATTGAGATTTAGCTTTTTAATGTAACTTTTAGATTATAAACGCAATGCATGCCTAAATAAATATATTTTTGACCATGATCAATTTTATTTTTTCCAATTTTTTAATTGTGGTAAAAAACTAAAAACATAAAATTTACCATCTTAACCATTTTTAGTGTACAGCTCAATGGTATTACATTCATAATGTGGTGCAGCCATCACTACTATCCTTCTGCAGCACTCTCTTCATCTTGTAAAACTGAAACTCTATACCTATTAAATAATAACTCCCTTTCCCCCTCCCCCCCAAGCCCCTGGCATCACCATTCTCTTCTCTGTCTTTATAATTTTGACTACTGTAAGCATCTCATATAAATGGAACCATACAAAATTTGCCTTTTTGTGACTGGCTTATTTCACTTAGCAAGTGAAACTCAAGATTCACTTAGCAAGTGAATTCAAGATTTATCCGTACAGTAGCATGTGTCAGAATTTCCTTCTTTTTAAAGCTGAATAATAGTCCACTGTATGGATATACCACATTTTGCATTTCTATTCACCTTCTGATGGACACTTGGATGCTTCCATGTTTTAGCTATTGTGAATAATGCTGACCTGAACTTGGGTGTACAAATATCTTTTGGAGACTCTGCTTTCAATTTTTCTAGGTATGTACCCAGAAGTGAAATTGCTGGATCATAAGAACAGCATATTTTTAATTATTTTGAGGAACTGTTTTCTGCAGTAACTGTGCCATTTTACATTCCCACCAACACTGCATAAGGGTTCCAATTTCTCTCCATTCTTGTCAACACTTGTAAATTTCCATTTTTTGATAGTAGCCATCCTAATGGTGTGAAGTGGTATCTCACTGTGATTTTGATTTGTATTTCCCTAATGATCAAGTGATGCTGAGCATCTTTTCATGTACTTATTGGCCGTTTGTATATCTTTTTCTGAGAAATTGCCTATTCAAGTCCTTTGCACATTTTTTAATCTGGTAGTTTTTGTTGTTGAGTTTTAGGAGCTCTCTCTCTCTCTCTCTCTCTCTCTCTCTCTCTCTCCCCCTCTCTCCTTCTCTATTTTTTTTTAGTAAATGTGTGTGGGGCACAAATTCATGACACTGTGATCAAGAGTTGCATGCTTTACCAACTGAGCCAGCCAGGCGCCCCAGGAGTTCTCTATATATTCTAGATATTAATCCCTATTGGATGTATGATCTGCAAATATTTTCTCTCATTCTGTAGATTTGATATTCTTCTGATGCACAACATTTTTAAATTTTTATAAAGTACAATTTGTCTCTTTTTCTTTTGTTGCTTGTGCCTCTGGTGTCAGAGCCAAGAAATCACTGCCAAATCCAATGTCATGAAGCTTTTACCCTGTATTTTTTTCTAAGAGTTTTATGGTTTTAGTTCTTACATTTAAGTCTTTGATCTATTTTGACTTAATTTTTGCATATGGTATTAGGTAAGGGTCCCACTTTGTTCTTTTGTATGTGGATATCCAGTTTTCCTAGCACCATCTGTTGAAAAGACCATCCTTTCTCTATCAAATGATCTTACCACTCTTGTCAAAAATCATTTGACCAAATATGTGAGGGCTTATTTCTGGGCTTTCTATTCTATTGATCTATATGTCTGTCTTCATTCCAGTACACACCGTTTTGATTACTGTAGCTTTGTAGTAAGTTTTGAAATCAGGAAATATGAGTCCTTCAGCTCTGTAGTCCTTTTTCATGACTGTTTTGCTATTTGGGGTCCTTTGAGATTCCATATTAATTTTTGGGTGGGTTTTTCTATTTCTGCAAAAAATGTCATCAGGATTTTGATGGGAATTTCACTGAATCTGTAGATCACTTTGGGAAGTATTAACATCTTAACAATACTAAGTCTTCTAATCCATGAACGTGTGATGTGTTTCCACTTGTTTATATCTTTAATTTCTTTCGGCAATGCTTTGAAGTTTTCATTGTAAAGTCCTTCACCTCCCTGGTTAAGTTAATTCCTAAGTACTTTATTCTTTTTGATGCTACTGTAAATGGAATGGTTTTCTTTTTTTTTTTTTTAAAGATTTTATTTATTTATTTATGAAAGAGAGAAAGCATGAGCAGGGAGGAGAGGGAGAAGCAGGCTCCCCAAGAGCAGGGAGCCTGATGCGGGGCTTGATTCCAGCACCCTGGGATCATGACCTGAGCCAAAGGCAGACGCTTAATGGACTGAGCCACCCAGGCGCCCCAGAATGGTTTTCTTAATTTTCTTTGTGGATTGTTCATTGTTACTGTATAGAAATACAACTGATTTTTGTGTGTTGACTTTGTTTCCAGCTACTTTGCTGAATTCATTTATTAGCTCTCACAACTTCTTCCTACATAAAAGGTTTTTCTCCCCCCCATAAAAGGTTTTCTACCCCCATTAAAGGTTTTTCTACCTCCCATGATCTACATAAAAGATCATGTCATCTGCAAACAGATATAATTTTACTTTTTTTTTTTTTCAAAGATTTTATTTATTTGACAGAGAGAGACACAGCGAGAGAGGGAACACAAGCAGGGGGAGTGGGAGAGGGAGAAGCAGGCTTCCCGCTGAGTGGAGAGCCTGATGCGGGGCTCGATCCCAGGACACTAGGATCATGACCTGAGCTGAAGGCAGACACTTAACAACTGAGCCACCCAGGTGCCCCTAATTTTACTTTTTCCTTTCTAATTTGGGTGCCTTTTATTTCTCTTTCTTGTCTGATTTGGCTAGAACTTCCAGTATTATGTTGAATACAAGTGGCAAAAGTGGGCATCCTTGCCTTGTTCCTGATTTTAGAGGAAAAGCTTTCAGACATTAACCATTAAATATATTAGCTATGGGTTTTTCACATGTGGATTTTATTATGTTAAGGTAGTTGCCTTCTATTCCTATTTACTGAGTGTTTTTATCATGAAAGTGTACTGAATTTTGTCAAATACTTTTCCTGCATCAACTGAGATGATCCTGTGGGTTTTTTTCCCCTTCATTCTGCTGATCTAGTGTATTAAATTGATTGACTTTTGTATGTCAAACTATTCCAGCATTCCAGGAATAAATCCCATTTGGTCGTGGTGTATGATCTTTTTAATATGCTCAATTTGGTTTGGTAGTATTTTGTTGAGGATTTTGCATTAATATACAGAAAGTCTGCAGATTTCTTTCCTTGTACAAGTGTCTTTATCTGGCTTTGGTATCAGGGTAATGCTGGCCACACAGAATGAGTCAGGAAGTATTCCCTTCTTTTCAATTTTTTGGAAAAGGCTGAGAAGGATTTAAATATTTGGTAGAATTCACCAGTGAAGGCAGGCTCAGGGCTTTTCTTGTTGGGAGACTCTTGATTACTGATTCAATCTCCTTCTAGTTATAGATCTATTCAGATTTTCTATTTCTTGGTAGGTTTTCTATTTCTAGGAATTTGTCCATTTCATCTAGGTTATCTAACTTGTTGGTACACAACTGTTCATAGTACTTTCATATAATCCTTTTTATTTCTGTAGAATCAGCAGTAATGTCCCCACTTTATTCCTGATTTTAGTAATTTGAGCCTTCTCTTTTTTCCTTAGACCATCTAGCTAAAGGTTTGTCAATTTTGTTGATCTTTTTCAAGAACCAACTTTTCGTTTCATTCATTTTTCTCTATTGTTTTTCATTTCTCCATTTCATTTATCTCTGCTGTAAACTGTATTATTTATTTCCTTCTGCTAGCTTTGGGTTTAGTTCGTTCTTTTTCAAGTTCCTTAAATTGTAAAGTTAGCTTGTTGATTTGAGATCTTTCTTGTTTGTTAATGTAAGCATTTATAGCTATAAATACATTTTTTAAAAGATTTTTATTATTTATTGAGAGAGAGAATGATAGAGAAAGAGCATGAGAGGGAGGAGGGTCAGAGGGAGGAGACCCCCTGTTGAGCAGGGAGCCCTATGTGGGACTCGATCCCGGGACTCCAGGATCATGACCTGAGCCGAAGGCAGTTGCTTAACCAACTGAGCCACCCAGGTGCCCGCTATAAATACAGTTTTTAATAGTCACATTACACAGAAAGATGAAAGGGCAAAACTATTCTGTTTCCATTTCCTTAATCCCATACCCCAGAATTAGTCACTATTAATAAATATAAGATCCATGAGGGAAGTAATCTTATCTATCTTAATCATCACTGAATTCCTAATAACTAAACAGTGTCTGGAATATACTGGGAATAAGGGATTAATAAACATCTGTTGGAGAGTGAATCAAAGCACACAAAATTGAAGTATATAAAAGTTCCTAACGCTCTGGTTCAAGAATTCTTTTAATAATGCTTTCATTTAAGGTAAAATTAGAGTGCATTATCATTCTGGAATGTTTATTCATAATGTCCATACCTGATTGTTGGGCTTGGTGGATAAGCATTTCCCAAAGTATAGAGTTTCTGTAACACAAAGGCTATTACATGCAGGCCCATCAATAACTCCAGTCTTGTACTTGTCACACTAAAAACCAGAAAACAAAAAGTAGTTAATAGGAAAATGTTTACAAGAAGAAACATAATAAAGACAATGTAAGGAGATATCAGTATTCTTTAAGATGAAGTTCTATGATGAAAAAGAACTCAGGCTCTGGATTTGGACAGACTTGAATTTGAATCCAAGCTCTGTTCTTACCATCTATATGATGATGGGAGATCTTGCTGGGACTAGGGTGTGCATAGAATTTGGAAGCTATTTTTCCCACTTAACATGGTCTGAAGGGGTATGGTCCTGGCTCTGAGATTAGAGGCACTCTTTTAAAAAGTGGTTCTGGTTTTAAAATAAAAAATTAAAGTTTAAAACACCAAAATATTGGGGTGCCTGTGTGGCTCAGTCAGTTAAGCGTCTGCCTTCGGCTCAGGTCATGATCCCAGGGTCCTGGGACCGAGCCCCATGTCAGGCTCCCTGCTCAGCTGGGAGTCTGCTTCTTCCTCTGCCTCTGCTCCTCCCCCTCCACTCATGCTCTGTCTCTCACTATCTCTCTCTCAAACAAATAAATCAAATCTTTTTAAAAAATACCAAAATATTTAAAAATAACAAAATAAAATTACCTCTGTCATCTGGTCATCCTTGAGATTACCCAAAAACAAGGAAATAAGAGAAATAAACACAAAGTCCATCTTTGATAAGGTAACAAGGTAACCTTAAGGCACAGTTAGTGAGGATGGCCTACCAAATTCAGTGAAAATTACACCAGAGTCCACAGTATGTGGAGATTAAAGACCAGCTGTGACTTCAGTTCTGTGTTGGCACAGCACCAAAGTGGCCGTACACCCGAGGGGTAGAACCATTACCCTGATCTGCAATGAAGATTTAAAGGGGCCCAAGCTGTGGGAACTTCCAAGGACTCTGGCATCATGAAGTAGCAAGACAAGGCAGTGCTGAATGATAAACTCCTTCAAAATGTTATCTATGTTGGAGGCAGTCTGTTAATGAAATGGGTTGAGGGAGAGTATATTATGAGCATCTGCTGGGGAGGTAATACTCGCTAAGCCAATCTGTGTGAGTGATTTTGTCTCTTTGTTTCTCCTTTTTTCTCCTTCTCACACATGACACACATACACACAAACTCTGGGCCACAGCCGCCTCCCTAGCAGCACAACTCACTGCTCCAGTTGCTTCCTACAAATAGCTGGTTGAGGAAGAACGCTTTTCATTCAGTAATGAGTAATGACCAAAGGAAAATAAGATCTATACAGCAAATCTACAAGAAAAAGGAGGAAAGAAAATGAAAAGCTAATGTTACAAAAAGACATTTTCCAGAAAGATGTTGCCACAAAGCAGACCAAACATAATGCTGTGAATTCAAAGGACTTAATGAAACAGCTTAAAAAACAAGACCTCAAAGCGGAAGAATTGATGCTGAGATAACAGAAGGAAATGTAAAATAAGCTAGAATTCAGGAAGAAAAGGAAAAAATCCTAGAAATTAAAACCACATTATAAGTGGGGGCAGGGGAAGGAGGCAGACAAAGATGACAACACAGTTAAACTTCAATGAGGGCTAGGTTAAGAAAAGGGAGAAAACGGCAATGGAAATTTAAAAAGAACTAAAAATAATCTGAGACAAAATTATAGATACAGAAGACAAAGGATATCCAGCATGTCCACATGAGGGAGAACAGAACAAGTGGAAATGAAAAAATATTCAAAGTACAATTCAAGGCGACTTCATGTAAGTGAAAAGACACTTTATAGATTGAAAGGACACACAGTGTCCCAAGAAAACTGACAGAATGACCCTTGTGACCTATCCCATTGAATTTTACTAGACTTCAAAAATAAATAATCCTTTGAGCGTTCAGGCAAAAAGATCAAGGCACCTTTAAAAGGAAATAAATCAGACTGGCCTCAGATTTCTCCATGGCCGTATCAGTGGTAGATAATGGTGCAATGCCAGCAAAGTCTTTGAGAAAGGAAGTGTGACTTGCCTGGATCCTAATTTTTCATTTGTTAAAGGGGATATGAAAAATACTTGACTTATAGCATAATTATGAAGGGGGCACCTGGCTGGCTCAGTTGGTAGAGCACATGACTCTTGATCTCAGGGTTGTGAGTTCAAGCCCCATGCTGGGCATAGAGCTTCCGTAAAAAAACAAAAAAAACAAACCATAAATAATAAAATTATAGCATTATTATGAGGTAAAATGATATAATAATGAGTGCAGATCACCTGTGATTTTAATAAGTGCTCAATAGGAGGTACTATTGTTTTACATAGCTAAACTTTCAAGTAAAAGGCATCAAATGTTTCTGAACATATAAGGATTAGAAAACAGAACTCCCGTTAGTGTTTCTTTTTTTTTTTTTTAAAGATTTATTTATTCATTTGAGAGAGCGAGAATGAGAGAGAGCACATGAGAGGGGGGAGGGTCAGAGGGAGAAGCAGGCTCCCCGCCGAGCAGGGAGCCCGATGCAGGACTCGATCCCGGGACTCCAGGATCATGACCTGAGCCGAAGGCAGTCGCTTAACCAACTGAGCCACCCAGGCGCCCCCCGTTAGTGTCTCTTAAAGACCTATCTGGGGAATGGAATTTAGGTAACCAAGAGATGAACAGAGAACCTGAACGTGGAAGCCAGCTGAAATATAGGATTGGGATGAAAACAACCCTGGGAATCTACTTCATAATAATTAATAAGATATTTGATAACTACTAGATGCTTATTATATGTCAGGCACTGTTCTAGTGCTATACCTTCATTATCATGAAAACAAACCTGTGAGGTAGAACCTATTGTTAAATACACTGTAAAAACAAGGAAACAATTATCTGTTAAGTAACTTGCTTAAGGTCACACACCTAAAAAATGATAAAGCCAAGATTCCAAGCTAGGCAGTCTGGTTCCAGAGCTCATTCTCATAATAACTACTGTATATTGTTCAGAATGTTAATATTATAAACTACACCAGTAAAAGTAATAAAATTAACAAAAACCAAGAAGAGAAGATGTAAGAAGATGGAAGTTGGCAAAAGGATTGATTTATCTTTAATATTCAAGGTCAAAAGATAACATATCTTATAAATCAAGTAACAGAGACAGAAGAATATTCAAAAGTATACCAATGATCACTAATAATAATAATAATAATGTATTGATTAAAATTAGATGGAGCAAAAGAGATGAGATGAACAGAATTATAATTTTGTCAATGCTTATAATAAGTAGATTTGTTCTAAGGAAATAGAGGATAAAGTACATTTTTAAAAGTTACAGCATAAAAAGCTACACAGTAGAAGAGCTAAATACAGAATACAAACCTTCCTAATTATCAGAAGAACATGCATAAAACAAAGAAATATACACCATCTAGAGAAAGATACAAACCAAACGAATCCTTCAAAACAGAAAGTAGGTCATACAATGTGCTACAGAACTAAGTCATATCTATAAATGTCAGTGCGATAAGTTCATCTATTGAAAGAAAAATATCCTCAGAAAACAGTGTCAAAAAAGTTGAAAATAAAGGATAGTACAGGTATAGCAGCCAAATGTAAGGAAAACACAATTAAGTCACAATCTTACACCAGACAAGGTTGAAGTCAGAGGTGGAGAAAGCATTAAATAAGGTTGAAAAAAAAAAAGGCTCTTTATAATGATAAAACACACAATGCACAACAAAGATATTACTTTCGTGAGTTTCTATAAGGCAAAGTAGAATTAAAAATCATTAAACAAAATCTATAAGAAATAGAAAAAGAAATAAACAGAAAGGTATTAGAGTAGGAGATCCTAGTTCACTTTTCTTAGTCCATGACAGATCAAGAAGTCTATGAAAAAAGAATATAGAAGAACTAAAAAACCGGACTAATAAAGTAGATCTAAATGCCTTGAGAACAGGGCGCCTGGGTGGCTCAGATGGTTGAGCGTCTGCCTTCGGCTCAGGTCATGATCCTGGAGTTCTGGGATGGAGCCCCACATCGGGCTCCCTGCTCAGCAGGGAGTCTGCTTCTCCCTCACCCTCTGCCTCTCCCCCTGCTCATGCTCTCTCTCTCTCTTGCTGTATCTCTGTGTCTCAAATGAATAATAAATAAATAAATAAATGCATGCATGCCTTGATAACAGCCCTTTCAAATGCCCACGGAACACCTATAAAATTAGACCAAAGCCTTAATACATTCCACTTAGTAGAAATGGCACAAACAGTATTCTCCAATCACATTATGCTAAAACTTGGAATTAACAAAACATTTTTCCATACATAATTAAATGTTCTTTTAATTCTTGAAAGTCAAAGTCCAAACTGAAATTTTAAATATCTAGGAAATAACAATAACAGAAACTGAAAATAAAACTAATGATAAAATCAAAGAACTGCTTAAAGAACTCCATCTTAATTATGTTCATAAACAGCAAAGAACAAGACAAATAAATTAAAAATTCAAGAAATTAGAAAAAAATTAATCCAGAGAAAGCAGAAAGAAGGAATTAACCAATATAAAATAACAATACAAGGTTATGGTATGTTCCTGTAGTTGGCAAAAATTCCTCTGACCTTCATTTCCCAATCTTTGCTTTAGATCTCTTGCTCTTTTCTGGTTTCTGCAATTACCTTTTGATTGTTCTTCGCCAAAATTCTCCTTGTCTGTCTGGTTCCCTCAGTCTGATGACATGATGCTGCTCACAGATCAATCTTGCCCAGCTCTGGTTCTTGGGATCATGCAACCTATTAAGGGCCAACATTGGGCTTCTCTTGTGTAAGGATAGGGATTGTGGATAATTTCTTGAGCCTTTCATCTTGGGGGCTTAAATTTTTCATTGATCCCAAGGAAATAGCCAAAGCACAGTCGAGTCTGTTAATTACTCAATTCTTGAAAGGCCCTCCTACCAACACTTTCTACAGTTTGCTGTGAGGATGAGGATAGCCTTGGTAGAGATGGAGAGCCCTGCCCATGTGAAGAAGTAAGTGCCAACACCCAGAAGCTGTTGCTCTTCAGCTGTCACTACCAGAGAAGTTCCTGGGTA